TCCCTCAAAATCAAAAGCTCATTCCCATCAGTGTTTGCAGTTGAGGGTGATTGCTGCTAGAAAATTAAAATTTAAAAAATATAAATATTATTTAAAATCAAAATATATATAATATATTTTTCATAAAATAAGTTTTAAATATTATAATTACAAAATATATAAATAAATTTGATATTTTTGAAGTAATATCAATTAAGTATTTTTAGTCTAAATTTGATATTTATTAACTGTTAAACATAATTTTATATTTATAAGATCTTTAAACCAAAAAAAATTAGATAGATTTTTTTTCTGCCACTAATAATTATATATATATATCTAATAACTAAAATTCTTCGATTGTAGTTTGAACTTAAAATTCTAGACAAACTTTAATTTCGAGTTTGAAATGTTCACAAAATGCCTTAACATCACCTTTCGTTAACATTTTGTTCATCAATATTCTTTCAACCTTTTGTACAAACAGTTTTGGTACGTTAAACAAATTAGATAGCTAATCAAGTTTCAGCGATGAGATCAATAATAGAGGAAGAAACCACAAGATAATTTCATATTTATGTTTAATTCAATGATTTATGAACTTTCTTGAAATTCTAAACCTAACTCTTCAATGATTTATGAACTTCCTTGGAATTCTAAACCTAACTCTGAATCTACTCAGATATGACAGCGAAACAGAAAAGAGATGAAAAGAAACCCATAATCAATAAATAAGAAATTTAAAGGAGTTCAGAAATCTTCTCAAAAAATGTAGAGATCCTTCTCCCCAAGCTTACAAAGCATAAAACCTAAAAGTATGGATGAAAAATAATGTATAACCTAAATAATAGCTAAAAATAAATATAAATAGGTCATCACGTTCTGGTCGAAATTCCTTCTAAAATCAAGTCAAAATAAGAAAATTCAAAATTTCGTTTTTCTATTTTAATGAACTGGTTATTTGGACAGTTTTCACAAAAAACTAGCATAACTTTAGATTGCACCGTTGGATCTACTTCAAACCATTTCCACATGAAAGCTAACTCAAATATTTAGTTTGTGTTCAAATTATGACCCAAACTATCCAGCCCTTAAGACCTTGTTGTCAAGTGGAAGGGTAAACCTCGGATGGAGTCGTTTATGGAGGGGGCTTGTTATTGAGTTGGAAGATGGGAGATCACAGTTTGGTTTGTTTGGAAAAGAAAGTGGGCTCTCACCGATCTATGCTGAGTTTAACTTGCTAATATGGGCAATGAAAGTGGTTCGACATCTTGATATCTACTCCATAGACTTTGAAACTGATTGGTTAGACATCTTCATATCTACTCCATAGACTTTGAAACTTATTGTCTCCAATTGGTTAAAATGATCGAAGAAGAGGAATAATGACCAGCTTTAGGGTTAGAATTAGAGAATTTTAACTTGGTCAGATTTTTTCTTTTTTTTTGTAATTTCTCTACTCTTTTATTCTTCTTACTTTAAATGTCTTGCTAAAGGTGCTCGATGGGTCTGTATTCTCTCCCATTTAGATTTTCACGCTCCAAATTGGCTGGCACATGAGCCAATTACAGTTAAAACAAAAGTTATAAAATGGTGTTTTTTGCTGTAAAAAAAAAATAACAATTCTTAATTTTCGTTCAGATAATTAAAACACAAGAAGTTCATCAGTATTTTATCAATCTAGTAAAACAGTTCGTTTATAATTGAAACAAAATGCCGAATGACAACACAAACGCAGTTCATCTGGTCTGCACTAATTGCGCATATACACTCTTCATTTATAGCCATAATTGATCATGTGAGCCGTGTTGAACTTGTCTCTTCCAGTTGGGTAATGGCTCATCATTATCTTGGCTGGCATATTTGACTATCTCTTTTTTATTTTTGCTTATTTGACTTAGAGATATCAATTTGGGCCAAAGCCCGAAGTCTGGCTCCGCCCGACCCTAAAAAATACCGGGTTTGGGCTTTGATATAAAAGTCCAAAAAAAAATCAAATTTTTTGGACAAAATCTATTTAGGCTAAGCCCATTTGGGTTTAAGCCCGATCGGTCTCGGGCTTATCCAAAAAGCCCTGTACTTTATATTATAATTTTATTTAAAAATTTTTATTAATAAATTATCTTCACAATTTAAAAATATTAGAGTTATTAGTTTTTAAAAATTAGAGTAATTAATTTTTTTTTATTACTCTATATTAATATAAAACCTTAATTTTTAGTTGTGTGCCTTCATATAACATCAATGCTCAAACTAAACTAGTTTCAAAAAGCGCTCATACCTTCATCCTGAAGATTCTCATCTCGATTATGTTGTTTCCACTATTTACATTACTTATTTATTTAATTATATTTAATGTTAGAATTTATATAAATTTATAAGTTAAAGTTTTGCTTTCAGATTTGATAATACTATATTTATGATTATTTTTAAAATTTATTTTATTTATTTAAAAAGTCCGAAAAAGCCCGAAAAACTTGATAACCCTGTTAGGGCTGGGCCGGACTTCAAAATATAGGTCCGATATATTATTCGGTTGGACTGGGCTGAACTTAAATATATGCGGGTTTTATGGATTTCGGACCGGGTCAGGCCGGGCCAACCCGTTTGACATGCCTGATAAATCAATAATATAGAGCTACTACATAGATAAATATATAAACATACTTATATATATATAGAGAGAGAGAGACATACTTAAATATATAAATATATATATATATATATATTTTATTTGATGCAAAGTCATGGCTTTTTTGTTTATTGTTTCAATCTTTCTTTATAGTTTATCGTTACCTATATATTAGGTGAAAAAAATTCATAGAAGTTATATATTCTATTCTGCCAAGAAATTCAATGGCTTTCCACACCAAATCTCCAGACCCAAGAGGACAAGGTATGTGTATTCATGTTAATTACACCAATAAAGTTTTCGTTTGTATAACTAAACATATTTTGTTTTTCTAATGTAAAAAATAAATCAATCAACAAAAGAAGGGCACTGTACGTATATACGTTGCCGATAATTGCTTGGTGCAAAAATTTCTCTATTGGCTTCAAATATATTCTGGCCAATATGATGATCAATATACCTATTTTTTTTTTCCAACTTATGTATTTTTAAAGTTAAAAAAAAAAAGTTTCCAAGGAAATGTTTTCTGAGAAATTTTGAAATTTAGATGAAATAAAGAAGAAGAAAACAGAGCTTTAATGGGTGTGTGGGCTCACTAACTATTTATAATGTTTTTTGTATTTCTTTTGGATTATATGAACAAAGAAGAAGAAGAAGGAGAAGCTAGTATTGGAGTTGAGAATATACCAAGAGCAACGACATCAACATCTCTTCTTGATCGGTCACAAATTCTCAAGACACGAAACTGGTGGATTTGGATCTTTGTCTGTTCGGGTCTGGCCGTAACAGGACGTGTTTTATCAACACTTCTTCTAAATTTCTACTTCATCCAAACAGGACGAGATGTTTGTGACGACCCAAAACAATTTAAAGGCACATGGCTTCAGTCTATTGTCCAAAACGCTGCGTTTCCATTTACAGCTTTCCTTGTCTTCTTATGGCGTTCTTTGTTCTCCACTCATAGACAAACTCTCTCCTCTTCTTCTTCTTCTTCTTTTGTCAAACTATTTCTTCTTTACATCTCTCTAGGCGTCCTGTTTGCTGCTTATAGTCAACTCTATGCAATTGGAAGAACCCATTCTATATTCTTCTTTTGGATCTTTACAACACAATTGATTTTCACTTCCATGTTTACAGCAATTATCAACAAACACAAATTCAACCGTTGGATCATATTATCCTTCGTCCTTTCTGGAGTTGCCACAGGCCTTACAACTTCAGATGATGCTTATTACCCTTGCGAAAATGAAAGCTATAAAATGAGTTACGGTGCGTGGTGTGGCTTCTTTGGCACGGTAGCTTTCTCTTTGTCTCTATGTATCATGCAATTAGGGTTTGAAAAAGTCATACCGAACACAGAGAGTAGAGTTTCCGACGTCTTGATGATGCAAACTACTGCTTCTATGATTGCAACTTTGATATGTTTGGTTGGATTATTCGTGAGCGGTGAATTCAAAGATATCAAGGAAGATTTGGAGACGTTTAAGAAGGGGAAACCGCTTTACGTTTTGAGTCTAATCGGATTATCACTTGCGTGGCAAGTAATGGCTTTAGGGCTTGTGGGTCTTGTGTGTTTGGCTTCTTCTCTTTTCTCTAATGTTGTCAGCTTCTGCGCCACGCCTTTAGCGAACATCCTCGTCGTGGTGGCGTTTGAGTTTATGGATGATGACATTGAATGGTTTAAAGGAGGAGCTTTGTTAGCTGGGATACTTGGGTTCGCATCTTATGTATATTCATTGCACAAGTCTATTAAGAAAAGGGAAATAGCAGCCCAAAGTGAAACAGTGAGAGTATGATTGATGTTATTTATGTGATATAATCAATAATAATATAATTCAGCCACGAAAGCTGTCTTAGCTCAGCCGATTTGATTTGTTCAGTTTAAATTTTTCAAATTCTGATCTTGGTTTCATAGTTTTTCAATATGGTTTCAAAGACGAGCAATAACAATTTGTACAGTACAGTGAAATTGGTGAAAATACGCAGTCTTTTTATGTGAAAATTCTACCAATAATCGCCACAAGAACAACTACCATCTCTAAAATGATGAAACCTCTTGTTATCTCTTACAACGAACTCTCTATCTTCAATACTCGATAATATCTTTACGAAGTTGTGACAATCTCCACATATCCTCAAGTTCTTCATCACTCTTATCGTCGTCCCTGGAGGCGTGTTTATAAGCCCGAAAGCAATAGCTAACCGTTCGCTGTGATGCATCAACGCTTTCTCTTTAGCTTCTTCGTCGATATCATGAAGAACATACTTCGTCTCTGGTACATACCCTGCGTTTCTCACTTCTTTACCTAAAGATTTCAGCTTTATCAAGGCCTTGCTTCTATCTACGATAGCTTTTTTCTGGCTTGAAATCTCCTGCTTTTCTCCTTTAATCTTTGTTGAATCGTCTTCCATGGGGCGAGAAAGTCTTCTTGCTGTTACTCTGCCACCATTCCAAGCATCTGGGTTTCTTTTATGAACTTTAAGAAACTTTTTATGAGCAGTTTCCTTGGCTTTGGTCTCAACTTTCTCATCTTTGTAAACCTTTTTGTAATCAGAGCTTACCCTTTTCTTCGGTTCGATAAAGCTTTGAACTTCACCATCACTCGAAGTTCCCTTTGCTCCCAACATGATGATTCGGTGAGCAGATAAGGTTTCTCTCTCAAAGGAGATTGCTTTGGGAACAGAGAAGGAGCAGAAACTCATGGAGAAAGCAGACTCCATAGCCATCCCTTGTGGTCAGGTCAATCCAAGAAGTAGATAAGCTTTCTTTGGGTGGGAAATTAACAGTGTAGAGAGAGAAACAGAGAGACCACTCTCTCTCTCTCTCTCAGTAAAATATCAACAAGAAGCAGACAACATCACAAACAGCCAAATAAAAACCTCTGTTTTACTATTAGCACCAGGTCCCACTAAAAGCTTCCTCCATAACCAGAAATTGGAGATAAGAACTTCTGATCAAGAATTATTGCACCATTAGTGAAATGCTAATCGAAGAAAACTGATAGAGACTGCAAGGTTTTTGTTGTTACCAGCGACACAATCCTTTAGCATTGAAGTTGTAACAGAGTATTACGATCCGTAACTGTTTGCTTTTCGATTTGAAGCTGAAAAACTTCTGAGAACTCCTTAAGTAACGACTCGTGAGCTAAATCTATCAACTTCGAATCCTCAAGCTTATCAGATTCTCCGTTCTCGATCAAACCCTTTATGCTTCCAACACGGCGGTTTCTTATCCCACACGGTACTATAGAGTTGAAAGGTGCTAAATCTGTTGTGACATTAAGAGCTAGACCATGATATGTCATCCATTTCGACACACGGATACCTATCGCCGCCACTTTTTCATCGCCTATATACACAATTTCGCAGATGAAATGGATCAAAACAATGACACGAACTAATCAAATCACACTAAGAAACGAATATGAAGTGGAGATTAGGGACGTACCCACCCAAACTCCGGTTAAACCATCAAGACGAGAAGCTTTGATGGAGAAAGCAGAGGAAAGAACACGAATGACTATCTCCTCGAGTTTCCTAAGGTACCAATGAAGATCCATCTTGTGATTCCGGAGATTGATTATAGGATACATGATTAGCTACATTAACATTTTCAAACAATGGACATTAGCGCAAGTGTAGCCACACATCCTCATTGATGAATTCAGAGGAGAATGTTTTTTTACCTGACCAGGGCCATGGTAAGTGACTTCACCGCCACGTTCTGTTCGATAAACATCGAAAGGAGCATTCTTTATGTCGAAATAGAGATAATCCTCTGAACTTCCAGTTCCCATTGTGTAAACAGGGGAGTGTTGTAACAGAATCAGTGAATCTGGGCAGTCTTGGTTTCTATCGATCAGAGCTAATTTCTCCTTGACAATGGTTTTTTGCCATGACCAGGCCTTCTTGTACGGAACCAATTGGTCGTAGAGATCAAAACACTCACACCTGCAAAAGAGCACAGAACATGTTCGTTAAAATTCCTGACAGAAAACAAAATAAAGATCAAAACCTCAAAGAGATGAACTTTACCTTCTTGAGTTTATTATCTTGACAGATTTGGGTACTCTATTTTTCCTGGAGTCACTTAGATAGTGATGTTGGAGCAAGGAGAGCTTTAGGTTCGCTACAGAGCTTGTTGCAATGGACAAAAACATGTCTTTGGAGATTGTTAAAAGTGATTTATCCTTTTGTGTATCAATTTATGAAGCTTTAGGCGTAGAAATTGTCGAGATAATTATCCAGTTATCAAGTGGTAGATTGTTGAGTTTGGGAGAAAATGGCGGAGATGCCGAGGAAATTACGAGGGTACTTTCGAGATTTTAGAACATTCCTTATGGCTAATTTGGTCTTTAACCTTAAGGACACTGGAGTTTTGCCCTAGTTTCTGGGTTTACTATATATATAATGGGATATTTTCTTCTTCTCTATGAAGTCTCTACAAAAGGATTATCAAATGTACAGCTTCTTTTCGTTTTCCTATTAGATTGAGTTTGGATTTTCCGATCTTAGTTAACATTTTTTGTTCTGGCTATATTTTTCGGTGATTTCAATTTGTCTTTTACAAAAACAAAGTCTGGCGATGACGATGAAAAAATGACCTTTTATCACATGAACGAGGTTTTTAATCTCTTGATTACCTTTCAAGCACTTCTGAGCCATGCTTCTATTTTTGGTCTAAATCACTTTCTAATTTATTTTTCCACTGTATTATTAGTATTTTCGATCTACATTGAAATTCACATATTCCATTAGAATTTATTTTACAAATTCTTCTTGGTCTAGTTCTATTCACCACTATGTGATTACTTCAAGTGAATAAAAAAAATTGTTAGATGATGCCGAGAAAGAAGCAAGAGGGAGTGAAATTAATTATCATGGAGTTCTTTATCAGTATTTGGATTTTGATTTTCTGGGGTTTATGAAACTTTTGTTAGAAAAAACAAAAAGCATCTTAAGAAGTTGAATTTTGCTTTTGTTCATTAGTTGTTTTTAATCTCATATCATTTGATTTTAACCAAAAAGCATATTTTTCATAGCCATAGATAATTGATTAAGATTTACATATAGAACTGTGCATGTGCGCGCATGTTCCCGTTTGCTTGCAATATTCACGATATGGGCGGCACATCTGTTAGCATAAGCATTTGGGAAGCATAGACAATGCTCATACAGATTTATTGGACCAACCAAATTAATGAAGTTTTTTAATATTCAAAATTATCCAAATTTAACTTTAATTTGACCTGCAAAATTAGTTGACCAATTGGACTATGTCAATCTAATTCCAACTGTTTTCCTGAATCAAACAACGAACTAGACAACTCTTTAGCTTTTCGTATTTGGTGGTATTGATCCTATCAAGAAATATTAATGACCTAAGAATTTTTTTCTTCTCTGATCAAATGCAAGACAAGCTAATTGATTGACTAAGTATTAAAATTGGATAGAAGAGATAACTCTGGTCAACGACAAACTCAGAATGTGTGCTCTTTCGTTTACATTCAAATTTGATAGAAGAGATAACTCTGATCTAGTACTCTTTCGTTTACATTCAAATTTTACTTTCAATCTTCAAACACATTCAAAACTATATATTGAAAAAACGAAATGAGAGAATTAATGATGCTCATACAGTATGGTAACATAACCCCATAACTTGTATCGGTAAAAATGACCAAAGAACGTAAACAAAGGCCGGTTATATAACAGCTGCCATCATCAGTTTTTGGTTCTAATCACTTTCTCTTTTTTTACATGGAAGCGAGAAGTCCTCTCATTTCAGTTACCCCAGGAACGTTTTCACTTGGGTAAACTTTGGCAACGAGCTGCACAAAGCACTCGTACTTGTCCAGAAACTCCTTCTGTTTTTAGTTCACACATTCATCAAACATTGAGCTTTGATGCAAATTCTTCAGCAACTTTACATAATAAACTCAGTTTTTTAATTGGTACCTTGCATTTATCCCATAACGATGGTAGCAACTCATCCGATGCTAGATTCTTCTGCAACTTTTTGTACATTGCTGCAATCGATTTGTCCACCTAAACCAAGATCATAAGAAAGTAGGAAGCTATTAAGTTGGAAGGTTTGTGAACAATTAGAGACACTCAAAAGGAACATCTGTTTACCCCTGACAAGCTTGATTTTAACATCTTCCGAAGTTCCATTTTGGACAAACCGAGCTGAAATGGAATCTGTAATATAGACAAGTATGTGTATCAGGTTTCTAATGCTCCTACAGTTTTTATTTTTAACCATAGAAACATAAAGACAAACGCCAGCACATAGTTAACATGAAATCGTTTACATAATGAATGTTAAAACTATGGAGAAACTGGTTAAAGTATCTACTAACCTCTTCAGGGGTGATCGTATACATAAAATCCTCAATCTTTTTCGCAAACTGGAAAAGTCTTTCGAATTGCTGCAGGACAAAGAACAGATGAAGCAATCATAAACAGTTGTAATGTGAAAAAAAATCAACTACGAAAGAAGGACAAAAAAATGAAGAGAGTTGTGCTATTAGCTGCAAATGGGAAGTACCACTTACGTAGTATATTATCATGCTAATGTGGCGGGTACAAGCTTGTTCATATGCTTCACTTGCCTGGTGATAGAACTTGGCTAAAGTGGGCACAACATTAGCCAGGTCATACAGGCTGAACAAGAAATATACAAGGTTATAGAAATATGAGATAGTCTGTAGTCCGCGATTAGAAGATAAACCAAGAAAGTAGAGAGCGCAAGAAAAGGATCTACCTGTTCTGAAAAGCAGCATAGTTTTCTAGAAGGAGAATATCTGCATATTTAGGATCTTGCTGGGCAATTTTCTCGAGGGTCACGAACATTATGCTAACCTATAAAACACCAGTAGTTAGTCAGACTTTGCCAACGAAGGCCGGTAAGAAAGAAAACAGATTGAGATAGTAGATGCAGAAAGAATCTGAGATATGCCTTGTTTATATTTAGTTGTTATAAAGTCGAGAATGAGCTAATGGTGGGGTTTACATATTGTCAGTGAGCTAAGATCAGATGCAATTTGAGGTTGTATGTTTTTGCTTGACGTGGAAAACATTATTCTTTCATTGCATGGTTTGTGTCAACTTTACTGGTTCAATGAAAATAGCAGTACTTACGAATTTTGTGTATGCCTGATCAACCAAATCCCTAGATTGTCCTTGTATGTACTGTTCCATACGAGTAGCAAGTGCTGCAAATCTATGAAAATGAGATGATAATGTTAGGACAGCCTACCAGAACGGTTTCTTGAATTACCTATACTCCATCTGACTAACAATCTTAGGCAGAGAAATAGTTCAGAACCACAAAATCGATGTATATTGTCTACAAGGTGAAGGAAATACTATCCGATTATAAGCATACAAATGGAATTAAACTGTATTAAACAATTTGGATTTCCTGATTACCTTGGAATATATGGCAAGACGCCCATCTGTCTTACATTTCGTTCATTTCTTTCTATCTGGTGACAAGCTTCATCCACAAACTGCAGTCAAAGTCGACTTTAAATGATTAGTAGGAAGAGTATGCCAGGAACAAAAACCAAATAATCTATATGAAGAAACATACGCGGCTGAATTGCATAGAAACCCTCGACTCCAGATCTCCAAGCAAAAGGCGAACAAATCCTGCAGCATCAGCTTTTTGACCAGATAGATAACGTTCAGTTATACCATGCATTGATATGCACCGTAGGGGATCTATTTTATATGCCCAGTCAACAACAGCATAGAAATCCTCCTGCAGGGACAAGAACACAGATCTTTCTTTTAGTAATAAAATCAACTGCTAACTCCAGGTATTAATTCAGAAAAATTAACAATTGGGTCTTTCATCTAACATGGAAACATTATTTTGAAGGAAAAAAATTACCTGAATACCATCAAGTAAATCTTGAAGAGATTCATTCAATGCCGTCAGGTCTGGGGAGGTTTTACCTGCAGAATTGGACAATTGTTTGCTTTCAGAACCATTAGACCCTATAATTTGAGGTGTAGTGAAAGCTTTGATTACAGGCTGTGATTACCAGGTTTCTTGTCAGTCTCATCAATGTCCAAGATCCCCAAATCGTCATCATCATTACCATCGTCATTGTTAGACTTCTTATCATTGCCAGAACCTCCAGGTGGAGCAAGAGCTGGTACCTCAAAGCACATGAAGTGCGCAAAGAAAGAACTCTGTAGTGTGAAGCAAAAACGAAACACGCGGTCTAAGTACATACATCAGTTGCATCTAAAAGTGAAACAGAAAATCATAGGGTTAACACTTACTTCATCGACAAGAAGCGGGATAAATATTGTTAGCATCTTGGCATAAGCATCTGATACTGCAGAAGTGTCAGTGTTTGCATTCTGACTAGAACCCGTAGATCCTTCTAGCCAGACAGTAGGATTTCGTGATACTTTGGTGCTTGCACGGAGCTCATTTGCAAATTCACGAGCCTGTATATTTTGAAGAAACAGATCTTTGGTAACATGAACTGATTATAAAACTCACCAATGGGACATGAAAAAAAGAAAATGGTTGATGCATGTCCATGCGCTTTTTTAACATTCAGTAGGTTTTGGCAGCCTTGGTCAATTCAGAGTTCCGAAAATCAGTGGTCAAATTGATAAAGAAATATGAATATTTGTTCCTCACCTCTCGGCGAAGGAGCAAGTTCAGGGAGCTACAGTACGCTTTTCTCAAAGGTCCCAAACAGTTCTTATCAAGACCCTGCAAAAAGAAAGGAAACAAGTAATTAATGTACTGCACTGAGCTTTTATAATGTCACCTACTCATTTCTCGGTTTTACCTTTAAATGTTGCAAAAGACGGGCATATGTTCTGCATTTATACCGCAAATCTGCATGGTCAGGTCTCTTCAGCTGACCTCTCTGTTTATAAGACGTGGTGATAAGTATTCAGAATTAAAATCACCAGAGTTCATATTGGAATGATAGAATTTCACAAAAGTAGTACCTGAGAAAAGTAACTTTTGTCGCTGATCATGAAATCTACCAAGCTAGCAAAGTAGTTTCTCAAGAACTCAGAAGCTCTCCTTACAAAAGTAGCTTTCAATTTTTCTAGCTCTGCTCGTTTCTCTTTCACCTGAAGAAAATACAGAGAGAGTAGCCGGAAATTCAGGTAGCTGTA